TGAAAAAATGACTTAATATCTCAAAATGATGACTAAGCAGTTTTAAATGAATGACTTAATATTAGGGATGAGCGAGTAAGCATATCTGTAATCTGTATCTGTACTCGGAATGGGCGGGGCCTAACCCGGAAATGGGCGGGGTTTAACCCGGAAGTTGGCCCGGGTTGTCTTGAAATGGGCGTTTTTTCTTTATCTAACAGGGCTACTGATTTATATCGTAAGTATTGCAGGTCTGGACTGACAATATGATGTCACACACACACACTAAATGTTTGTCATATCAACACCATTATGACCATCAATAATGGGTTTAGTCATAACTTTCTTTTCTCTTTGTTACCTGATGCGTTTAATGCACTGGTCCATGCTTCTGGTGACCTCCATTAGCCAGCCCTGCTCATGTCTCTTTCTAAGAGGAGCCTCATCCACCTACATAGAAAACAAATTCCCACAATGACATACTGTACTTCCTTCATTCTTGCTCAGTCAGCAGTGAGGACTAACAGGAAATAACAGGATACCAGATGACCTCAGCAATCACGCCAACACAGCCGGCAATGACGGCAGCTTTAGCCTGAGCTCCACTCATGCCCCCCAGTCCAGAGGTCACTAAGACACGGCCCCTTAAGTCATCAGAGCCAAGGTACCTCCGGCCTGCATTTAGCACAGTCAGCTGCAAAGAAAAACATAAAGAAACAACATACAGGTAATGTGTACACTAAAGCAGGGATTCTGACCTTTTTGACATGTGACTTGTTAATATAAAGAAATGTCTTAACAAGTTGTGGCTGTTTATGAGGGAGTTCAGCTCCAGTTTTCCCTCCTCAGATTGTTTAATTTAGAGATTTTTTAGAGGTCTAAAGAGGTGAAACTATCCAGTATTTCACTATAAAAAAAAAACATAAAGCAAAAACTAAAGAAAAGTCTACAAAATAAGTATAATTGAATTATTTTATTATTTTTTCTTCTTTCCGACACAATAATCATCTGCTGTCACTGATCTTATGGTCTCTTAGGGGGGTCCTGGCCCTGAGGTAGGGAACCACTGTTTAAAAGTAATTGTGTGTGTTTTGTGAACATCCTTTTTTTTTAAATTCACAAACCATAGTGCCATGAACAATCCCTTGAGGTCCGATGTAGCAGTAGCTGCCTGCTGTCATTTGACCATACCTAAAAACAGAACACAGATTACACCAATACACTTGCAACCACACAGGAAGGTTAATAAAGAATCATTTTCAATCTTCCTGATAAAAACCTTAAAAACTTACATTGACACACCGAGGGCAAACATCTTTTCATACTGATTTTTTGAGGAGTAATTTGGAATAACCTAAGTAAAAAAAAAAAAGAGTGAGTGTATTAGTTCCGAGGGATGCGTGTGGGCTGAGAGAATCAACTTATTAAATCAGATGTGTGTTGGGCAGTTACCATGCCGTTGGTGATGATGGCGCGAGGCGAGGAAGGCAGGCTGGGGAAGAGGCCCATGGGATGACCACTGTACATGACCAGAGTTTGTTCCTCTGTCATCTCACTCAAGTAATGCATCACCAGGCGAAACTGCACCCAGACACACACAAATCTTAATCTATATTAATCAATTCAGACTCCACACTTACACTTACACAACACAAGCTCACTCAGGGCTTACCTGGGCCCAGTTACTAAACACCTGTCCATTCCCCCCGTAGGTGACGAGCTCTTGGGGGAACTAGAGGGCAAAGACAAATTAAGCTGTCATCGAGATAAATAAATTCAAGTGTTCCTCAATTAATACAAGCTATGTTTTGAGGCTCACCTGAGCAACTGCTGGGTCCAGGTTGTTCATGATCATTAGCATTATGGAGGCTGCTTGACGTGTGCAGCACGGGTACTGAGCTATGGGGTAAGCTCTGAGAAAACACAGGAAAAGTCACATCACTGTTGTTGTGGAACAAACAAAAACAGGAGAATATCATCTTATAGCCAGACTATGTAACGTTTGCCACTGTGGCCACAAGTTTTAATTAAAGGACATTTCTAATTATTTCTGGTGAGGGATAGCGGACGAGAAAGGCTGTAGCAGCACCATGATTTGTTAATTTGAATAAGTGAGATTTTATTGCATATGAACTCAGCGTTAACAGTGAGATTGTGTGATTTATTTAATTAAGAAGAGTGTAACCTTGTGTAAATGCAAAAGCCTTGGTGTGCGTGTTGTGCAGCAGGGATGATCATTAAAGCCCTACTGACAGATCTATCAGCTGGTCAATAAAGAGATATTGTATTAGGACAGGCACATCAGCATCTGTCTTCCAGCTTTGTTCTATGTTTTTATTTGTTGTTATTATTTAGAAAGATTTCATTTTCAGTTAACAAAATTACAAAACTTTTCTTTCATTTACTGTTACTGTCATATTTTCATAACTACACTATATCTGCCTCAGCATATATGTTTGTCTTGACCTAATAACCAAATTTGAAGCATTGTCAAAATATTCTCTTAAATGTGTGTGCAAAAGCCTATACACATTTATCATATATCTTACTCTCAAATATTAATATGGATATTGGTCTAAAAAGTCCCATATCAGTTGGTCAGGTTGCCTCACCTCATGCGTAATGTGGGGCAGAAGCGGTACATGTAGATGTGCCCGTACTGCCGCAGCTCTTGAGCAAATTCAGGTGCAAGTGTTGCGTGGTGGGAGGGGGGGAAATAACGCAATGCATTTCTTAGCGCCAACTAGAGGGAAGAGGCATATTACCAGTAGGTGAGTGAACACAGACTGTACAGTGCAAATTAATGTTTGAATAAGACAGATAGGTGATACACATTCAGGCTCCTCCTAATATAACAGGTGGAGCACTCTTTGTCTCGTTTTAATTATTGACTGAAGCCTTTGCTCTGAGTTTGGGCAATCAGTTGAGGACCTTCGAGAATAATCAATTTTTTTAAGGCAGAGCATGAGCCAAAAAAGGTGATGCAATAAGTCAGAGTACAACATACTGGTTGTTCTTCAACTGACACATTTATAATTTATAATAAAGTGAGCTGTAACCTCCTTTAGATCACTCTCACATCGCTCGATGATAACGTTTTAAGGTAGCCTGCTTTCCCTACCATTAGATTTATGTCACAGAAAGTATTTTGACTTGTTATAGTGGAAAAGCAAAGCTGCACCTAATGACATATAATGACACAATAATTGCTCTGTTCCATGTAAGTATACAAGTAAGCTGTGCACAAAATGTAATGTAGCCATTATCTGTGTTTAAAATAAAATACCACACTTGTGCTGTTGTGCACTCAAAAGAATCATAAAATGTATCTGGATTACTGATTTACAAATTATTGAGTGACAAAGGTGACGCGAAATTTTAATAAATTGTTAGTGTGTTTACTCACCCGCTTTTCCTCTGCTGTGAGGTTGGGGGTTCGTATAGGTGCGTGTGGCACATCGGGGTCTCTTCCCCGGTTAGAGGGCAAAGGGTCCAGAGGTAAACCACTGCATATCTCCTTTAAAGAAGACATCATGCTGAGTATTTTCTGTCACGCACTGGAGCAGAGACCTGGAGACCGAGACCACGCTGGAGACTGAAGGCAGCTCTCACACTTACTGCAAATAGTCCTGTATGGAGAGAAAGACTGAGCTTGTGAAGACTTGAGGGTGGTCACTCTTCACATTACTGTCTCATTGGCTTTTTGGTTGTCTTTGCCCTTTGCAGTCCACCAATGGGATGGTGCAGATAGAAAAGAGTGTTTGGTAATTATTGATCCCTGAGGGAGTTTAAAGTGGCACATGCTTCACTGGGCAAACACTGCCACTGACCTCTGACCCCTGATGCTTAAACATGTAACTCAGTTAAACAAAAGTGAGTGCCTGGAACCTTTGGACAGGTCAATCATGTTGTTTCCCTTTTTTTAGTTTTACTGGCACTTATAATACAGAGCATTATTGCCACCACCACCTGCAGATCCATCCATCTTCAACCAATCAAGACACATGTAAAGATACAGATTTATAAACTCAGTATCAAACTTTGCGATGAGGTCTAGTGGGTGCATGTTCAGACTAATACTGTAATTAAAAAGACAATGTGACATGAGTTATAGAAAACTGTATAAACGCTAGCCTACTCATTGTAAAGGTTGAATTATATTGAGCTACTGACAACTGATTTAGAATCAGACATTTTTATATGGCATCCTGTCAGAGGTCCAGTGACAAGGATTGTTTATTTTGTTTTTTTAATTACCCAGTATACTTGCTGTGATTATATCTTTGTTAAATACCTACATTCACAGAGCAAACATCTGACACATATGGAGTCCATGATGTGAGAAGCCTCCAAATTATTATGTCTTCTAGGTTTCCAGTGTTATTTGCTGATTCAAGTCACTGGCAAACAATGTATTTGCAGATGTTACCACTGTCCATAGAATCTGTATCCTGCTTGAATTAATTGAAAGAAGATAAAATGTAAAGTGATATTCGAGCATAGTTTCTTCTTCTGAGCTCCTCATGAGTTCACAGATTTGCTCTTTTTGACAGTGTAGACTTGCAATGCGGTGAGTTTAAGGTCATTATTGCAAAGGAAATATAAGGGATAAACAACAAGAATACCTCTCAAGAACCAAAGAGATACAATGCATTTAATTATGAAACTTTTAACAATATTCACGTTAAGTCACTTCAATCAGTCCCGTGGTGCACACAAACGGTTCTTAAGTTCAGCCGAGGTAAAAGTTTTAAGTCTGGTTATAAATTAGCAGAAGAAACACAGGTCAGTGGATAACTGTGGAAACACACTTTTCTTCAGTACATTCTTCACACCCATGTGAATTTAACAACTTTATCAGTAACATTACTAATATAAACTTTGAGTCAAAGTTTAAAATTAATACAAAACCTGATTGTAAAACACATAACGTACATGTAACATGCTATATGCTAAACTCCATGAAATAAATGTAAAAATAGCAGACATGAGAGAATGGGAATGAAAAATGTATGAGAAGAAAACATGTTTTTACTGTAATCTTACAGCTTCAGACCTTGTTATGGTAAAACACAGCATTTCAAACCATCAAAGTAAATAATTTTTAAAAAAGTACACTACACACCACAGTGTGTATACTAAGCTTGGTCCTCTAAGCTCTTGAATGGATCAAAGATTTTATCATTTTGTTTCACATGATTCATACCCAAGGCCAGGACTGAACAGCTTGAATTTAAACACAGTATACAGTCATCTTTCATTGATCACATTATATTAGTTTTACAAAAGTATAAGTCCATCTTATTCAACATACAATGTTTAAAGTCCAACTGACATTTAAAGGTCATCTGTTTTATCTGCTAAAGCATACGTTTACTCTATAAACCACATGTCCTGTGTTCCCGTCGGAGGACAAATCAGAAACCAAAAGAGAGAAATTAATTTGGTTTCATGATGGTACAGTCTACATGTGCATTAATCCATCAGAATACCTTTAGTGCTCCGTTTAGGTAGATGGAGAACTTGTTTCCACACGGCCAATCAAAAATGACACAATTCTAAAACATATATTTGCATAAAGCCTTAGCCACATAATTTATTAGCTTCTTTTCTTATGTAACTTACTGTACGAGCACACATATTGTGATCTAACAACCAAATATTCACTGGGAAAAAGTGCACTGCTAATGTCAGTTTGTAAGCAAGAAAGCTAATTAGCTGTAGCACATTAGATGCTGGCGCGTTCCTTACTTTTCAATATCACTAACGCTAACACACTATGTGCAAATGACTTAAAAGCTACAGTGCAAGTCAGTTTTGTCACCGGTTCCCCTGCTGGTCACTCAGCCTGCTAGCTGCTCTCAATAAAACAAATACAGACACACCCTCCAGTCGCTAAGATGTTTATGACTCCCCCCCCCCCAACCTTTGTTTCTTCCTTCAAACAATAAAAAAATATTAACAGTAAAATTTAAAAACACTGTGACATCATTTTTGGCTACCGAAAGGGATGATTAAATGTGTTTCAGTTGGACTTTAAAGCCTTGTGGTTCACGCTGTCGCCAAGGCTCATCATTAGCTTTCCACTGAACCCTCTGTGTTGGGTTGTGTGGTATTAGAGTCTTGCTCAGTGGCAGATGTTGAGTTGGCACCTGATGTCTCTGCAGATGCTGACTCTTGTGAGGTCTGGTCTGTTTCTGAGGATTGTTCTTGTGGCTCCTTCTCGTCTTCTTGAGGATAGAGCTCCGGGTAACGCTGCATACACTCCTGCATGGCCCTGAACTGCTCCAGGCACTCAGAGCCCTTTACCTCCTCCTTACTATAGTGGAAACAGGAGAAGGCGTCCTTAAATTCAGTCCCACAGGGACCACTGGCCATCCCGCCCAGGCAGGGGCAGTTCCAGTTGATCTCCCCATTGGGAAGAATCAGACCTAGGATGGGAGAGAGAAGGTTGAAGTTGGTACACAGCTATTACTTATATTTTTCACCTGACGACAGGTTCTTCGTGTTAGTTTTACTGCTCCTCACCTCGCTCCTCATAGGGGTCATTGGGATCTTCTTCTACGAGCTCAGCACTGCTGGGTGTTTCATGATCCTCTTTGGTGACAAAGATGATTCGGTCTTTACCTGTTGTGTAAAATGTGGAAGAAGACATGTTTATTCTTCAAAGAAAAAGACATTATCATAGTTAATATTCTGGATTAAACAAAATGGGATCCTTGTGAAAGATGATGATGAAAAACAAGTTAAAGCAAATATATATAAATATATTGTTATCTGTTGTTTTACGTTCAAATAACAATATTGATCTGTGTGGGAGATTTCATTAGAACTGTGATCAGCTGGTACAACTTATAGCCCCTGCTGTGTAAAGGATAAACAATGTGCCCAATACTAGAGTACATCTGAATGCATGCTCGGGCACACACCTCAGCGTATTGTGGTGTTTGAGACTCTGCAGGTGTTGGTCTGATTTTTAATATACATATTAGTCAATTAAATCTATTGATGATCAGGAAGAAATGTGTTGTGTCCAGATTGTCGACGACACAGAAAACACCGACTGTAGCGATGACGAAAGAGGATCATCGATGACTTTGAAGGAAAAACATCTTAAGGTGAGTCACCGTAAGAAATGCAACATGACATTTTGTACTCTTGCTGCTGGTCAAGGTTAAACACTGTGATGGTTACAGGTATTTAGTGCTGTTTATTGATGATGGAGCGGGTACAGATTTAAGCCACCCTTAGCAAGAGGCTTGTTAATACACGTTTAGAAACCGAGTACAACATTGATGTTTTCATTCAGACTACAATAAGTATGTTTAAATAAGTGTTAGCTTCCAGAGGAGTTAGCCGGCTAGCAGAGCATGGTTACCTTCCTGTCTGACCGAGCTCATTTCTTCTCGCTGGAACAGATTCAGTTTCTCTTCTTGGTTTACTGCAACAGCTCCGAGGACAACACCTCTTACTGGCAAACAACAAAACACATGAAAGTGTCCGCCGCTTCAGTCCAGCATCAGCTAACTGTTAGCTCGTTTCACAACTATCCTTGCTTTAGCATGGACTCTTCTTCTTCTCTTGTGCTGTTTCCGGTGGCGCAGGCGCTCTGGGGCGCTTTGCTGCCCCCAACAGTTCAAAGTGCTGCATGCACAGAGGTCAAAACTCTTGACTCAAGTTTTATAAGGTTTTTGTTTTTGTTTTTGTTTTTGAACCAGAAAAAACCTTACCTTCCTCACAAGATATGTCAGCCACGAGAGGAAGAGAAAGGTGATCTTCAGAGGGAAATACAAACAATCCACATTTCTCCTCCTTTCTGTGAGGTGCAATCTATTTATTCTTAATGTGTACTACACGCTTGTAAAGTGTTCTGTGACACAGATTTTACACTTTAATTTAACATACAACTTACTCACATATTAACTAAATCCATCTTTATAAATGTTGTAAATATTTGTATTGACATACAATCACATTGTAAAAGTTGGATACACCCGTTCATCTTATTCGGTCAAATGGCTCTTTTTGCTGTTGTACTGCACATAAAACTTTCTACAAAAAAAAAATAAAATCTTATGTACTGTAGATCACAATAGATAGAATCACAATCTTTATATGAAGGGGGTATTTAATTATTACCAAGCCCTAACAGTAACTACACTACACACACTACTACAAATGGTCGTATGTGTGTATATATATATCAATATATCAAACTATTAGCAGTTATAAGCAGCATATAATCACAACAAATGGTTTATAACATACTATATAACTCTGGTTGTAAGCAGATATAAGTGTTTATTACTGTTTTGTCAACAACTATAACTCCTTCTGTGAGCTCCTGTAAGTGAGGGATGGTGTATAAACAGAGAGAATCACTGTATAGCAATAAAATGTCTTCATAGGTCGTAATCGTTGACAAATATTGTACATTAATAAACACTACTTGTCTTTATAGCTGCTTATAAAACGATTTATTATATTGTAATAGTCGGGTTATATATGGATTAAAGTAAGCCTCACCACTGTCTTATAGCATCATACAAATGTAGGACATAAATAGTCATTTTTAAAAAAGGAAACACAACCCTTCAGTGGACCCAGAAGGAGACTTTGTTGTGCTACTGAAATCAAGAATTCACTTCAGACAAGCAGAAGACTCAAAAAATAAAGCCTTTTTCCACAAAATGTTTTTTATTGAGAATGTTTTTTATAAGTTTGTTCTGAAATGCATTTTTTTTTTGTACATATTCAAAAGACTTATCTTATCACTTTAAGGACAATATTCAAAGTTTTCCAATGCATGGCCTATTGTACAGGAAAATCAGTAATTTGTCGATTGTGGGCAATAGTGTATTAAGTACGCTTAGATGCAGCACAATTAATAAGAACAAAACAAAAACAAAATCGTAAAATTGCGTAACAAAAAACGAATGGTGACGTCGGTTAGATACTGCAGGCTCCCTGGGAATGCGCATACAGTAAAACAGCAAGGACCCTTTTTTTTTTTTTTTTTTTTTTTTTTTTTTTAAAATGGTTCATCAGATGACTGTTCACAAAAATAAGCTGAACAATTTCTTTTGACAGGCGGACCCCAATGTGAGCTCCACATCCTCTTACAAGATCCTGTTCAAATAACAGCTATAACACAGGATCACAAATCAGGAATATGACAGTACTTGATTCAGCGTTTGACAGTTCAGCTTCTGGTCCACACCTTCACATAATTGGCAGGTTGTCAGAAAAATAAAATAAAGCTGAAAATAAAAGTATTAAGGTAACACCAAGCAGAACATCGAGTGCTTTTATGCACACAGCAGGCAGTTGACCTCCGTCATCCGTGTCGAGTATGCCTGCATACTGAAGCGCTCTACTGTCAGTCTGAAAAAAAAGGACCACACTCCCGCAGGACTTCATCCGATACACAACGGAAGCCTTGAAATGAATCTTGGGGTGCTATAATCTTCGAGTCAGAAGATAGAAAATCTGATGAAGTACAACTGACATGTCGGTGTTTGTGTTACTTTGGAAGCTTTGTGGAGGGAGCAACAAGCTGTGTAGCCCCACCACCTTGCAATATCCCATTTCAGCTGAGATTTCTGAAGGTTCCTCAGAAACATCCTGAAACTCGACAGCTGACGACGCAGGGGCTTCACATAGATGTAAAATAAATGCAAAGTTGGTGATCCTAATAAAAGTTGATTGAAGGTGGGAGGATATTGGATTTTCTAGAAGAGCAAGGCCCCCATGCTGCCTACTTCGCTTTGTTCTTTTACAAAGATCTCAAAGTACTGATAGATGATGGTGACGGCCAGCAGGATACCAGTGCCAGAGCCAATGGCTCCGAGGAAGTCAGCCATTACCGATAAACCACCGATACACAGTCCACCAAAGGCAGCAGCAGTAGGAATGTACCTAGAAAACAAAACAGGGAGATTCAGATTAATATTAACAAAGTATTTCAGATTGCAGCCTTTCAGAAGACATGCATAGTAGCAAGTATGATAGGTATTCAAATACATTCAATGTGATTGTGGAGTAGTGATTAATGGAATAGTTTGACACTATGGGAACTACTCTCATCGTTTTTATTGCCAAAAGTTAGATAAGAACATCAACACCAAATGTTGAACTATTCCTAGTAGTGCATACTAAAATGAGCAAGTTGCAACTGAAGAAATTCTTGAACTGCTGCCCTACTTTTAATTAGTTTAGCTCAGTAATTGACATTTTTGCACTTTGTACCTTCAACAAGGTATTAAACTTTTCTCTGTTTGGGTGCAATAGCGTTTCCAAGGACTCAAATTTTATTACTAAGAATAAAAGCACACAGGAGAGGTGACTCATGCAGAAACTAAGGGATTCAATCTGTCTCCAACATGAAAATACACACATAGGGGCTGGAGCATGTTGACCTTGAGATCAGTATGTGAATAATCTCAACTAAAAATGATGACATCCCCTTCCAAGTCATTTGGACTTGTCATAGTAGTAAACAGAGAAACATGAAGTGTCCCAGTATGCCACGAGAGTGAGCCAGCATGTACAATACCAGGATCTTGAAACTGAAGCAGCTAAATGGAATTCAACCATAATTAATTTCTATACTTTGCCTATTCTATACTGTATTATAACTTATGCTATCAGCTCTGCTCTACACTGGTGATCCATTTCCTGATATGTGTGGCAATAAAAGGAAGGTAAGGTGACATATGATGACAACATGTAGCTTTAATTCTAACACATTAAGAATATTAAATGATCTATGATCAAAGCTTAAAACCGAACTAACTGATGACTTGTTCAATGTATGGTTTGCGCAGCTGATGAGGTATGTAAATTAAAGCAAGAAAGATCTACAAGAAAGTATGTGACATGGTTTTTGATTTTACCTGTTCAGCTCATGGACCATTGAGGTTTCTCTGTGCCCCCTCATCACCATCTGCTGCTCCTTCAGCTGTTTCGCCACCTGGAAGAAGAAGAGTGTGTTAAAACACAGTCTGTTTGAAATAAATCCATAACACCACCTGCCTGAAAGTGGTTACAACTTACATCTTTCGCAGAGGAGCCTGACACTTCAATCCAGGTCTTGGAGAAGAAGGCACACGATCCAAGCATGAAGACAATGTAGATGACTGCATGGACTGGGTCATCCAGAACAGAACCAAATGACTCTGGGGGAGAGAGGTAGTAACAGAGTCCACCAACAGGGTAGGCACGGGCTGGACCACCTGATGAAGTGTCCTACAAACATGAGAAAACAAAACAAGCTTTAATATTCTAGCACACAGGGTTAACAAAAACAAGAAAAAGAACTACTAAAGTACATCTGGGAGCACTATTTCCAATAGTTCTCATTCTTAGAATAAAGGTTAACAAACTGAATGGAAATGTGTGATTAAATGTATACTTACAGACCAAGTACCGAGCAGATTAACCAGGAAATTGCCACTGAAGCGTGTGGAAAGCATCTGGGAGATAACGTACAAGTTTGAGACCAGGGCAGACTGCAGGATGATGGGGATGTTGGAGGTGTAGAAGAGCTTGATAGGGTAGGTGTTGTACTGGCCACGGTAGCGGGCCGACTTGATGGGCAGATCGACCCTGAATCCCTGTGAGAAGACGTGAAACGTGTGGGATCAGCGTGAGCAGTTAAACTGTTTATACTCCATAACTTTATCATCTCGTCCATTAGCAAATCCTGTTTTAAAGGTCAAGAAAAATTGCATGTTAGTAAAGGCCAGTGACTAACCTGAAAGTATATCACTACAGCGAAGACGAATACTGTGGCGATGAGGTTCATGAGGTTGGGCAGGTTCTGTCTGTAGAAGGCCTCTCTCAAAGCACGTACTTTGTCTGTCCGAGTGGCCAGCAGATGGAAAAGCGCAATGATTGCTCCCTCAAACTCTGTACCTAGAAACACAAGAAGTCACAAGAATTAGGATTATTTCTGGGCAGGGCAGAGGAACAAAAGGATGGACTACATTTATTAATCAAAATCACACGTTCAACGACCACAGTTTGGTTTCTTACCTCTTCCAGTGTTCACAGTCGTGGGGCTGAAGGCCTTCCAGACGATCGTCTCACAGATGTTGGTAGCAATGAACAGTGAGATCCCTGAACCAAGACCATAGCCCTTTTGGAGCAGCTCATCCAGCAGCAGCACAATCATTCCAGCCACAAACAGCTGTAAAAGAACAGAGCAGATACAGTCAGCCGAAAACAGAGGCAGTTTCACGTTGTTATAAATTCACATTTCTTTAAAGAGTTTAGTTTAAGGTATACCATTTGTTTTCATAATTGAACTTAATAACAGTGTGAGCTTTAGAGAGCAGCACTTCCAGTTTCACTGGAGCATATTTTACTTTGTGATTAAACCCAATTAATCTACAAAAACCTGTTAAACCTAATTATAACCACTGAATAATAACTATTTTAATTTTATAACTTGAGATAATGGGAGCTTTTTCAGAGATACTCTGACATGACCTTGATGCAACTATTA